ATACTATTGTTTACTATTGCATATAAAAGTAAGTCTAAATAAAAGTTTAAAATAAAGTTATCGTAAATATATTTCAGAAAATATTGGCAATAAATAATAACTATTTTTAATTATGACATTAATTTTATCGGAAATTTTCAACAAAAATATCTACAATAGTAGTAGTATTTAATATTTTGTATATATTTTTGGTTATAATGAGATTATTATTAATAGGGATTAACACATAAAAGCTAGTGAAATACAATAAACTGGTTCACAAACACACACACACACACACACACACACACACACACACACACACACACACACACACACACACACACACACACACACACACACACACACACACATACACACAGTAATTGACAATAAAACTTATTGTAAAGATTATTGAGCCGGACATTGAAATATTATTATTATTATTACTACTGTATTATTAAGTTAACACAAAAAAATAGTTTAGTAAAAATTAGTTGTCAAAAATTAAATAGATTTCAACAAATAATTTTTAAAAAAATAATTAAATCATAATTAAATTATGTTGTTTCTGACAGTGACTTTAGTGGTCATTAATTTGATAGCATGTTTGCCGACACAACAACAACACCAACTGGTCAGACATCGGCGATCGGGTCCCGACGGCCGTTCATCGGATCCTATTGGCTCCGGGCGTTTGAGGCCAATGTTTTTGGGCAAATCAACGGGCATTCGATCCAATGGTCAATTGGTTAGCAGCCGTAGTCGTGGCAATGATAGGATACGTGTGCCGACATCACTGGATCCGGAATTAGGAGCACCAGATCGTAGCGAAACGGACAGTGATTTCTTAAGTAATCACCGATCAGACAGTGAATTACCGGTTGACGGCGGTATCGGCGGCGGTAGACAACAGCAGATATGGCACTTAGGGTCAAACAGTGGCGGACCAGAAACGTCTAACGGCAACCACGACAACAATGATATGGACAGTGATTTTGGTTTACCCGATCGTATACTCAGGCAACGAGAGGACAGAGAGAGACAGCATAGGGAACGGCTGGAAAACAGACGTGTCATACATCCCGATTCGGATACAATCAATGGCCGACACAATAGTTTCATACAATACGATCCGTTACCCGAAATGGTTTCGGGCGGCGATCGCGAGGCCAATCCGTGGACAGATAAACCATCGTTGGGTAGTATTGTTCAGCAATTGTTTTTACAGTCTATTGGTCTCTAAGAAAAAAAATTAATAAATAAAATCATTTACTACTTTAATAATAATAGAATTGATATTTTTAATAATAATATTTATAATAAAAATTTGTTTATTTAAAATAATAACATTTAAAAACAATAAAAGCATTTATCATTATTTAAAATAAAATATCTAAAAATTTACTTATTTTTTGTCAATGAAATTGACTATAATTTTATTATACATTATCAATAAACATTAATTTATTTAATATAAATACAGTAAGTGTAACTAATAAATTATTGTATTTATAAATTTTATTATAATTATCATATTAACTTATTAGTTACTAAATAAAACAAATTTTAATAATTACAAAACAATAAATTATAAAATTGTTTTATGAACTGTAAATAAAATTATAGATTTAGTATATAAATACATAAACATTATAGTTTTTATTATAAACTGTAAAATTTTAATAAAATTATATATTTACTTTATATATAAATATATATTAATTTAAGTACTAGAGTATCATCAGTTACCCGTTTATTATAGTTAAGTTTTTTTTGCTTTTAATTATAACTAATTGTAAAATAAAAAATTTTAAAACTATTATTGTAATATGACAATGCTACTTTTAAAATTTAATATACTATGAAAAGTATAGACTTCTATACTATAGAGTATATATGATTTTTTATGTAAATAATTTTATTAACTTTATTTAACTATAAATAATAAATTTTTTGTTAATATTTAATTGATACTATATTATTATCTTTTCAATAAATTGTTTTCAAATTAAATATATTTTTATTATAATTTTTAAAACTATATATTTGATAGTTATATAATTTATAAAATATTATTTAAATATTATTTAAATATTATTTAAATATTACTTAAATATAATTCTTTCTGTTAGTTTATAATATAAAATATAAAAATTAATATTTTTGTTTTTTACATGTAATTAAAAAACTTTTAATATAAAAATAACTAATCATTGAAAAACATAAATCGATATTTATTTCATTGTAACAACAATTTAGTAAAATGACAACTCATTTAATTGTATTGAAATATTTTTTTACACAATATATTTGCACAATAAATAGTTATATTAGTAATTATAAGTTCACTTTAGAAATATAATAATTAAAATTTTTTAAATATCAAAATTATTTAAGATACAAAAAAGTATATAAAAACAGCTTCAATAATAACAAAATTAACATTTAGTTGATCACTGTTTTAGTACTAAACAACAAAAATGAATAATAAATTTATTAATGTCATATTTGTGGCAATTATCTTATCAATTGTTGTTTTAGGTAAATATATTTATTTTTTATTTATATTAATTTTAATGCAATATTTTTTTTAATGATACTTTTTATTAATTAATTATTAGCTACCGATGCCCAACAATGCCAAAATGAGACTGAAACATGCGCTGGTATTGCTAGCTTACAGTGCTGTCCGGGACTACAGTGTTATATGAGCCCATGGATGTCGTGGTGGTGGTGGGTGTCCGATGCGGCCGGTGTTTGTCAACAATCATTGTGGGGTTAAACAACAACAACAAGTTGCCAATAATAAGTTAGCTAATTGTGCTATCTAATTTACTAATTTATTTATCTACTAATAAAAGTTAATGTTTTTAATTTTTTGAATACCAATTCAATAACACATTTATTAATTGTTAATATAAGCAATTGTTAATTAATTTAATAGTTTATATATTAGATAATATACAGTATATTGTTATTGTAAATCATAATATATATATATTACTTTTTTTAAATTGAAAATTATTTTTTTAATCTAAAATAAAATTTTTAGTTTTTTCCGTAAATGATAACACTTTAAAGGTTTACTAAGTTTTTAATTTACTAAAATTTATTAATTAGAAATAAATTTATTATATTATCATTAAATAATTTAGTAGTAAAATTATTATTAAATAGATTATTACTATATCTACATTATCTAATCAACTATGTTAGTGGATAACAATTGTATTATTGTTCAAGGTAACAGTAATATAAAATGCAATTACTGTACAATTGTATAATACGTAGTTATAAATTATCTGTTTTATAAAATACAATATATTTTATAATTTAATAATAAATGTCTAATAAATAAATGCTATGTTTATAAAGCAATAGTGAATTTAATGAAAATAATGGCTGAAAATAATAATTTACAACAATTATTACCAAATATTTTATCTGATAGTGATTTGGCAGCAAATAATTGGATTGAATTGATTGATAAGTTTTATGTTTTTGATAATGAATTGGGAGTTAATATGTTGTTTATCACTATCGATGATCGGGTCTATGGATTGGGTGCTAATGCTTACGGATCACTGGGTTTAGGACACAACCAGTGGGTGAGTGAACCACAAGAGATCATTGAATTGAGACATAAAAAGATTAGTAAATTTTTTGAACGGAAAAGATTTTATTGTTTGTGTGTCAAGTGATTATCAAATTTATTGTTTTGGTGAACAAGATTATGGTAAGTTAGGTAACGGATCGGTTAGTCATAAATATGTGCGACCAATCAGATTACAAATTGATCCAATTAGTGATGTTAGTTGTGGCCAATGTCATACATTAGTATTAAACAACTATAAAAATCAAGTGTGTGGTTGGGATCTTAATTTATTTGGACAAATCGGTAGCCGAGAGACACTACCTGTGAGGCCATTACTAGACCCGAATTGATTGAATTCAATGGCAATTATTGTATTAAATCTGTTCACTGTTTTGACAACTCATCGTTTGCATTGACAAGTGATGGTCAAGTGTTTAGTTGGGGTCACAACCGTAGCAATCAATTGGGTCTCAACTGTAATGATATGTGTTTATATGTAGACCACAATTGATATGCAATCTAACGGGTATTACATCCATTGAATCGGTCGGTGATATTACTTATTTTAATTGATAATCATAACAATAAAGTTTATTTTTGTGGTGAATATATAGACAAATTTATTATTAATAATCAACCGATACCTATATTAATGAAAAATTGTGAACAATATTTAAATATTAAATCAATTGTTTCTTATAATTTGATTGAAAGATTCGTTTTTTTTATTTAAATAATAATTTTGTTTATGAATTACCACTGAATCTAAAAACTAATTTTAATACTTATTTTGAGTTTTGTATAACTAAATTCAATATAACATATAAAACATTTAGTTCTATTGAATTCAATAATAATAATATAATAAATTTTATTAGTAATACGTTAACAAAAATAAAATTGGATTACAAATTATTTGTAGAATCAAATATAGTTTTGAATATTATATATAAATATATATATATTAATAAGTTATTTATATAAAACAAAAAATTATAATATTTTTAAATTCAATAATATGATAGATATATTTAATCCTTATTATCGATGTTATAATGAGTTACAGCCATTGGGTTCGGGAGCATTTGGATCGGTATATAAATGTAGAAAATATTCCGACAAATCAATTGTTGCAATTAAAATCATAGATATAAAAGGTATAATTGCTATAATTATATAGTATAAAAAAATAAAATTAAATAAATAGCTATAAATATTTTTCTATAATAGTAATAATTTTTTTTTTTAAAAAATCAAACATTTTTTATGTATTTAATAGACGAAAAAAAAATATAAATGATAAGTTTATCGATGAGATAACTAATGTATCGAAATATATGACCGAATATTTGGTTCAATTTTATAGCAATTGGTTTACTAAACAGAATATATATATATATATATGTATGGAGTTTTGTGTTTAATGAGTTTGAAAGAGGCTATCAAATTGAAAGCATTGGTATTTGATAGACAATCCGATGAACCAATGGATAGTATAGAGTATTATATTACTTGTGAATTACTATTAGAAGTGTTAGATTGTGTCCGATATTTGCATGAATTACAGCCACCGGTCATTCATCGGGATATCAAATCGGCAAACATATTGATAGCCAATAATTTAAGAAACGGACGGTTTGTTAAATTAGGTGATTTGGGTTTTAGTAACTGTTCATCAAATGGTATCAAATATACACAACATTTACAGTTAAATGAATAAACTAAATGTTCAGTTAATAGTAATGACGTAATGGTATCACAAATGCATACATCGGGTGTGGGAACTCCTAAATATATGGCACCCGAAGTCTATATTCAGGCAATTATAATACACTATCCGATGTCTATAGTATTGGTGTCTTAATTGAAGAATTATTTGATACCGATATCTATGAGTGTGTTTTACAAAAATTTAATTTTAAATTTTAAAAAAACTTATTAGTCTTTAATGACTAATAAAAATTATTATTTTCATATCAATAGTTCAGGCAAATAAATACACTGAACATAAATGGTGTAATAAATACTATTGTAAACTAGCCAATGATATCGCCAATGAAAATGTTGGAAACCGTTTACGATAGTAGACCTACATGTGCTCAGATTATTCATCAGTCTATTGATTGGGCAATTGATGGGTACTGTTGTTACTCGGGATGCGGATGTCGTCGATAGCAAACTGATACATATCAATGATATGGAACGGGCGCTCAGGGATCTCGATTGCTTGGAAATGACTGATCCTGAAATTTGGCCAATTTTCTATACGTTACTTAAACATAAATTACAATACTCAATTTTGGATAAATTAAAAAAATCAATTGAATCGTTTAATTTTATGCCATATCTAGACAAAGTAATTAATAATAATAACAAATAATTATTTATATTAAAAAATATATTATAGAATTTTATTCTAAGCTATTTGTTTCATTTGACTAAATTTATTATTTAATTACTATAGTATTTAAATGTTTCTTAAATAAAAATAATAATAATTAATTAATTATTTGTTTATAAACAATAAAAATAAATATTATCACTAAATAATACAATTAATAATTAATATGAGTTTAGTAGGGTAATATATTAATTTTATTTAATTTTTTTAGCTTATCACTGTTTTAGTACTAAACAACAAAAAATAACATAATATTTAAAAAAAATGAATAATAAATTTATTAATGTTATATTCATAGCAGTTATCTTAGTATTTGTTATTTTAGGTAAATATATTTATTATTATTTATATTAATTTTAATTCAATATTTTTAAAAAATACTTTTAATTAATAAATTACTTATTAGCTACCAATGCCATGGATTTGTTGGATACTAATGCTGTCCGAGACTACAGTGTTTGTTATATGAGCTCATGGATGTCGTGGTGGTGGGTGTCCTATGCGGCCGGTGTTTGTCAAAAATCATGGTGCGGTTAAACAACAACAAATTTAATGGTAATGATTGTGAAAACTATGTTGTATAATTTATTGATTGATTTAATGTTGTCATAAAGTTTATGTTGCTAAATTATTAAATTATGTTATATATAAAAAACAATACAATAACATATTTATTATTCATTGTTAATTTACCTAGATTGTATAGTTTACATATATTAGATACTATTAGTGATTTTATAAATCCTAAAATCCAAAATAATGTTATTTATTAGACTAATATAATAATTAAAGTTACAAAACTACATTATATAAAGTTTAGTTTTATTAGTAAAGTATATGTAAACTCATTATTATTATTATAATTTAAAATACCTCCCAATAATACCAACCCTTTCCTCCCATTAAACCCATTGTTATTTGTAAACTTATTTTTATTAAATTATAATTATACAGCTTATTTCATATATATTGATAATTGAATAAAATTAATTTTAAATATGATTAAAAAATTTTAATTATAAATAATAATTAAAAATAAATAAATAATAATATAATTAATAGAAACAATATTTAGTTAATATTTAATTTTGTCCCCATTAGCCGCAATACAGGATTCAATCCTGTGCGGCATACTATTGACGAGGGACTCCAGGTGTTTGGGGACAACATTATCCCATATCTGTTGGATCTTTTCGGTCCAATTGGTGATGGAGCGATCCGGGTCTTTTTCGAGCTCGGCCTTCATTATTGCCCAAAGGTTTTCAATGGGATTAAGGTCTGGAGAGTAGGGTGGCCAATCTAAAACGGTATACCCTTCTCTCTCCAGCCATTCCCTTGTGGACCGAGCTTTATGAGTCGAAACATTGTCTTGTTGAAAGACAAAACCATCTGGGTATAAAAATGAGATGGTTTCCATGTGCTCCGCGAGGGTGAGTTGGTAACCCTCGGCCTTAATAGACCCCCTCGTCATCATGAGGGTTGTGGTACCTTTTAAAGAGATAACACCCCAAATCATGATGGCGGGGCCGTGTTTTAAGGCAGGTCTGGTCCGCCCCCAGAGTTTAATTGTGTTGCGGTATAGCTGAAAGTAACTTTCATCAATAAACGCAACGATGGACCAGTCCCGATCCCGGTTAGAATGGCACCACTCTAACCGGGTATTTTTTTGCTCGGGATTCAGGAATAGTGTCTTTTCCGGCACCCATTTCTTGAGTCCTGACTTCCGTAGAGAGCGCCATACCGTTACTGGACTCACAGATGGGCTTCCTCTTCTGTGGATATCAGAAGCGATGTTTTGAGTGCTTCTCAGAGGATTCTTGAGTGCCAATTGGGTGATTCTTCGCCTGTCGTTGGCATCCAGTTTTGATGGGCGACCACTTTGTGGGGCTCTATCGGCTCCCAAACCCGCGTTGAACCGCTTAACGCAGCGGTAAACTGTGGCCGGGGGTAGCCTTGTTATTGAAATGAGGTCTTTGGCATTGTCAACCCCTCTCCCCCAGTGCCAAAGGAGTGTCCTTCGGGCTTCTTCTTCTGGTCCACATTTTATATTTTCCATGCTTTTTAGATGGATTTAAATAATGTTTGATATATCATATGATATATCAAATGAAAGGATTTTTAATCCTTTATTCAAATATATATATATAATCTCCATATCTTTGCAAAGATAAAAGTTAATGGAGATTTATAATTTAAAATATTTTATCAATATATATGAAATAAGCTGTACTATTGATATAAATATTGTGTAAATTTTTTATTTGTTTATAAATATATATAAACAAAAATAAATGTTAGACTAGATTTTAAATTATTTTTTATTTGAAATTGTGATTTATTTTTTATATGATCAAAATGTAATTTAATATTATAAACACTATACTATATATAAACTTTATTGCAAAATTATTGCGACTAAAATATTGTTTTGTTTTTGGCTCACATAATTTATGTGTGTCATCAATCTATACTGTAAGGCATATCATTTAATAGTATTTTTTACATACTTTTAAATAATATGCCACATGGCTATGTTTACATTTATAGTTTGATGGCAAAAATGAATATAGTGAACCAAAACAAGACTAACCTCGACCGCCGCAAAACACTCCAACGGCTATGTGATCAAGGTCACCATGACCCGAAATACCTAATGAAAGCAACGGGTGCATCAAGAGCAACGGTATTTCGGGTATAAAGAGGTTCGGTTCGGGTCATGGAGTCCAACATAAGCCCGGAGCCTGAAGACCTTCCAGTTTGTCACCGAATGACAGACGATGCCTCATTCAATTGGCCAATAATCACCGAATGCAAAGTTCATCTGGACTTGCTAGTGAATTGGCCAATGGAGAAGGACCGTCCGTTTCACCGGCGACAGTTTGAAGGTCAAAACGGCGATCCGGGCTTTCGAATGGCTCCCGAAATTGGTCACTAAGTTAACACCACTCCATAAAAAAAACGTAAGGAGTGGTGTTGGCAAACCTTTCGCGGGACTGGACTAAAGTCCTATTCACGGACGAAAGTTATTTTCTCCTTTTCAGCAACAAAGTTAAACTTTGGGCGCGGAAAAGGCCTGAAAATCAAGTCCCAAAACATGGACCTGCGATAATGGTTTGGGAAGGCATTAGTGCACACGGGAAGTCAACTTTGGGGATGGCTAATGGTACCATAACCACCGAGTGATATCAATAAATTCTCGACGAAAACCTGGCCACAGTTAACGTCTTCTATCCCCATGGATTTATCTTCCAGCAGGACAACGCAACTGCCCGACTTGAAAAGTGTATTGCGGCTAATGGCGCCAGAATAAAATAATGATTTCTATTTTTTTCAATTTAATAGTATTTATATTTATAATTTAAATTATTTATTTTAGAATAAATTTAATTATTATGCAATTTATTTAATTGTTTTTCAGTCGCAATAATTTTGCAATAGTCTTTACATTTTTTCTTTGTATTATCTATAAATAAAATTAAATATATTTTGAAAGTTAGATATCAATTTTTGTTTATTCTAAAGATTTTGATTTATATTATAGTAGTATAGAGTCAATAATAGCATAGACCAGTAAAAACAGAGTATTCATAGCATAAGGATTGGCTTATAAAACAAAATCCAAGGCTATGAATACTCTGCTGTTAAGACTATAAAGTAAAAATATTTGGGTGGGAGAAGAAAAGAATTAAATTTTGGGTAGGGGAGGGAAATGTTTTAATTTAATAAAAATAAGCGATAGGGTTATAAAAGGGTTAAATATTATAACATACAAACACATACATACTACGCATATAATAAACAAACAACTCATACATACAAATAATAAAATAAACACATAAAATTTATATATAAATGACATACACACACATACAAAACTTATACAAAACATATAATACAAAATAATTCAATATAAAAAATATACAAAACATTTATAAAAAACACACACAAAACATATAAAAAACAAACAAAAAATATATATATACAATATATACAACATAAACACATACACAGACACATACAATAATACATAGTAAAAATAGTTATAAAACTAAAATATTTGGGGGAAGGTAATAAAGGAGTAATAAATATCTTATTTATATTTTTTTATAATTTTTAATAAAAATATAAATAAAATATATATAAAATAAATAATTTTCAATAAAAATTAAAAACAAATAATAAATAATAAAAACAAAAATACAAAGTGTTTTGCACTAAAAGTTGGACCTTCAGAGACATATTGTATATATAGAAGTGCAATAAAATATATAGCGCGCGTCTAACAAACTACCATCTTAACTCACTCGGTTGGTTATCTTACACTACAACTACTACAAAGTTTACGGTAATATATAATAATGTTAATAATAATAATAATATTATTAATAATAATACTTCAATGAGAGAGAGAGAGAGAGAGGGATAAAAAAGAGTGAGAGGCGTGTCTTTTGCACAAATAAACA